TTTCTCTAGCCTTTGCCTCAACACAGTTGTTTAGCAAAGTCTCACATTTTTCTATGAGAAATACAAACAAAAGTCTCCAGGACTTTTTTTTTTTTCTGGTACAGGGAAAAAAGATGTTGTGGAAGTGGAAATAGTCATAATAAAGAGAAGCCAGATAGAAAACGATTTCTAACTCAGCCTTAAATGTCAAGGCTTGATTTTCTTAGTTAAGGGGGAGGAACTTAAGCCTGATGAATTTTGGTGTGGAAAAGAATTTGAGGCAGTTAAGACAAACATCATCCTCAATGTAACATGTGTGCTGTAAACAGACTCCAGAGAAATCACTGAACTCCAAATGCCTGGGTGGGTGAGGCCTGGCTGTGCCTGTTGCTTGAGGCTTTGCCCTGGCTTTGACTACTGGATAACTAGGTCTTCCTGTGATTCACCCACAGACCAGAAATGCTTATGTGTGTGGTGACCCCAGACTCATGAGAAGCAGCAAAAGTGGAGTTATCCTGGATTAAGTACTAGTTAAATTGGACTTGATTCAAGTGGAATGAATCTATGGCCCAGGTACTGGGCCACAGAGATGAGTCAGCCAGGAGCCTGGTCCTCAAGGAATCCCAGGTTGCCTGATGAGACAGATAATTAAGTATTACAGCCCTTACCACACAAGTGTTATAAAAGGGTTAACAATGTGCTCCAAGAACAGATGATATCTCCCTGGATGTGTCACAGGTTTTATGGGCTGAGCTTTGTAAGATAACAGCTGGTCAAGGGGGAAGGCCTTCTAGGCAGATGGAATAATGTGAGCAAAGACGGGGGAAGGTGTGTAATTTTGTGTAGTTGGAGCACAAGCTCTGTGGATTGCTGGAGGAGGGCAAGGATAGAAATGGCAATGATATTAGAAAGACTGGGCTGGGGTCAGAGTGTGAAGAGCACTGAATGTTCTACTTAGGATAGACCCCAGACAGATGTGAGCATCAGATGATCAAGTTTATCTTTTTTTTTTTTATAATTCACTTTTTAAATTTTTAGGCATAGATTGGTTTATTTTAACATGATTTAGACATCACAAAATCTTTGCAAGGCATATCAGGAAGGTAATTATTCTTATATTATGGATGAAGAAAATGAGAAATGTGGAGATTCAGAGGCAGGAATTTAAATAAACAACTTCAGAACAAGCTAAAATGGCTAAAAGCAAAACTGTCCTCCTTGAAACCTTGTCAGTCTCTAGCCCTAACCAGGAGTCCAGTGCATCGTGGTACCTTAACCAACATTCATTGAGTGCCTAGGATCTGGCAGCTCCTACTATATGCTTTTACTTCCCCTCCTTTATGAATGTATTGGAATTTTGAGCACAGTTAAATAAAAAAGACTCAAATGTCCTACCCTAGTCACTGATATGAGGAATTCTTAATCTCAGGAAACAAACTGAGGGTTGCTGGAGTGGTGGGGGGTGGGAGGGATGGGGTGGCTGGGTGATAGACATTGGGGAGGGTATGTGCTATGGTGAACTCTGTGAATTGTGGAAGACTGCTGAATCACAGACCTGTACCTCTGAAACAAATAATACATTATATGCTAAAAAAAAAAAAGATCAAGTTTATTTTGTATAGCAATTACAAATGGAGCAGGTATGCCTTTGTGTCTCCCACAGCCTCAGTTCTCTAACCCAAATAAAATCTAACTCTAAGCTTCATTCACCAGAGTTGGCCAAATATTGAATCTTGGCTATGTTTTACTGAGCCCCCCAGGCCGCCCCAATAAATACAATCTTTAGAAAAAAATGTTTCGGGGCAATTGGGTGGCTCAGTCATTAAGCGTCTGCCTTCAGCTCAGGTCATGATCCCAGGGTTCTGGGATCGAGCCCCGCATCGGGCTCCCTGCTCAGCAGGAAGCCTGCTTCTCCCTCTCCCGCTCCCCCTGCTTGCGTTCCCTCTCTTGCTATATCTCTGTCAAATAAATAAATAAAATCTTAAAAAAAAATGTTTGTGTCTGGTCTCCAGAGATCACAAAGATGGAAGGCCCTTGAGAAGTTTCTGTTTCTGTTTCTCTAGTTTTGACACGTAATACTGGCCATTCAGGCTGGAGGTTTTCAGTTTTCCATTAACACTTTGCGTGCACACAAGCAGGGAGAGGGGCAAAGGGAGAAGGTGAAGCAGACTCCCCACTGAGCTGGGAGCCTGACACTGGGCTTGCTCCCAGGATCCTGAGATCATGACTCGAGCCCAAGGCAGATGCTTAGCCAACTGAGCCACCCAGGTGCCCCTCCATTAACTTTTAAGGCATATTCCATTTGGTAGTTTAGGGATATTTGTGAGGTAGCTGATCTTTTGGGAAAACAAGTAGATACATATTTGGCTGTAGTTTAAAATTTTTCTCTTTATAGTCTTCCCTCTTCTTTTGTTAATTGGACCAGCTGAAGTAAAATGATAATGGAAATGTTGCACATCTGAATGAAAGTTTCCACAATTTAAGACAGTTCTACCTTATCAGTTCAGGCCATGAAATCTCATAGCGTGGTCTACCTGAGAGCATCCCAGGAGCTACAGGCTCTGCTAATAAGGGCCTTATTGTGTATTTCCAGTTCAAAGACTTGGGAGAGAGAATCAAGCTCAGGACAATTTTTCAGACCAGGCAACAGGTCCCGTGAGTCAGGGTGTGGGTCTTCTGGCTTCCCCGTCTAGCCAGGTGTGTGGACAGTGTTGGGATCTCTATTTGACTGTCCATTAGCTTTGTCCTCATAGGCATGTGGCCTAAGCTCTCTAAGTGTTTTCTTTTCTTTTCTTTTCTGTTTTAAGTAGGCTCTACACCAAGCATGGAGCCCAACACGGATCTTGAATTTACGACCCTGAGATCAAGACCTGAACTGAGATCAAGAGTTGGATGCTTAACTGACTGAGCCACCCAGGCGCTCCCTCCCCTTTTAAGCTTTTGTTTTTCTTGTGGAAGATGGGGCTTACTAATATTACCCCTTTTAGAGGGTTAATTTTGAGGCTAAAATTATATCACACATGTAAAACCCTTAGTACAGTTCTAGGCATAGAGTGGGCTGAGAGTAAATGAGAATTATCATAATCCTTATTATAATGGAAAAGACACTGTTGTAGATGCTAGTTACAGAGACAAGTCATAGTTCTTTAGGGTGGGAAACACAGCAAAGGTATCCTTGATCCCATAAGGTTAGGGATATGATAGAGACAACTCAGTGGAGGAAACTTTGCCTTCCCCGTGGAGCTTCTACAAACATAGGAGTTTAGTTCATTTAGGCTCTCTGCTGTATTTATCCATCCATCCATCCATCTCCATCAGTGTCAAAATTCAGACCTGAGATGGTTATCTCAGGTTTGTATGCTTATTTGAATTGAAAATTGTGTCAGACTTATTTGTCATAGGGAACCCTGATTGGTAGTTGTCTAACTCTATCTCTTACTATCTGTGTGATCAGTATGCACTTTTTTTTTTTTAAGGATGTTATTTATTTATTTGAGAGAGAGACAGAGATAGCGAGCTGGGAGGAGAGAGAGAAGCAGGCTCCCCACTCAGGAAGGAGCCCAATGCCCACTCGATCCCAGGACCCTGGGATCATGACCTGAGCTGAAGGCAGAGGCTTAACCAACTGAGCCACCCAGGCGCCCAGGACGCATTTCTTAATCTAACACAGCCTGCAGTTTCCTCATCTCTAAAACTATAGAAATGCTAACAGGAGTTAACACCTAGTTGTGAAATTAACGCCCCCAGCATACAGTGTTCAGTAAATGTTAGCTATCATTATTTAATAGAGTCATCCATCATTTATTGTGAGGATGACTTACAAGGAGGTAGGGTATAGATTATCTCCAATCATCATGGTTGTTGACTGATGAGCTGAGGGAGCGGGAAGTCTGGGATGACCCCCAGGTCTTGCCAAACACCTCTGCTCCTTCTTCTAGGGCCAGTTTCTAGTAGTAATAACGAACGCCCTACCTCTCATGTCCCCTGTTCTTTCCTCCAGGAGCCCTGTTCCATTGCCCCGGTCAGGGCTCCAGCCTCTGTCCCTCCGCATATGAACAGTACCTCGTTGCTCCGAGGCCCTCGCTACAGTCGGCCCGACAGATCACAAGCCCCTCTCCTTCAGTCCGGGGAGTTCCCGGGCAAGACGGTTTCTCAGTCTTTGCGGGATGTCCAGGTCCAGCCCAAGGCTGAATCCCACGGACTTCAGCACGGCGCCTCGCCAATCGCGGCGGCTTCTCTGGAACACTTCCCTTCCCTTCCCACTGAAGGGTGTAGGAGAGCCCAGGGGCGGGCCCAGAGCCTAGAACCTCAGAAAGTCATGGATGGAAAGGGGCTTAGAATGCAGTTCCAACTCATTTTACAGGACAGTAGACTGAGGCTCAGAGACAGGGGAAGTAACGAGCACAACGAGTTAGGAGCAGACCGAGACTCAAACCTGGGTCGACGGACTGACACCCGGCCCCAAAGAGGTCCCTGACACCCGCAGGCTGTCCCTCGTGGCCTCTCTCACTTAGGAGCGACCCTAAAGCCAGGACGATGGCGGCCACCCTGGTCCTCTCAGTTCTGGGGACTGCCGGCCGTGCCGCTCGCGCCGCGGTTGAAAGAGGCTCCCGGGAGCTGCGGGGCTCCCCGAGGACCTGGAAAGGCTCCAGAGCGTCCCCCTCGGGGTAGGGGAGTTCAGGGCTGCCCCGGAGCCGGGAGGTGAAGGGAGTCCCGGGGAGGCCGCGGGGAGGGGGGCGGCGGAGTCCGGGCTGGGGAGGAGAACCACTCAGTCCTCGGAAAGCCCCATTGGGCGCCGGGCTGCCGACGGCCGCGGCCACCCTCAGGCCCCGCGTCCCGCCCCACCCCTGAGCCGCCGAGCGCCGCCGGCCCCGCCCCCCGGAGCCCGTTCCCCGGGCAGCCGGCGCCGCGCGCAGTCGGCCGATCCCTTCCGCCGGGCGTGTGGCGGCCCGGCCGCCAGTGCTGCGCCACCGCCGCGCCCGAACATGCGCTAGGCTGGGGCCCCGGCCTCCCGCGGCGGCATGGCCCGGCCGGTGCAGCTGGCGCCGGGCTCGCTGGCGCTCGTGCTGTGCAGGCTGGAGGCGCAGGAGGCGGCGGCGGGCGCGGAGGAGCCTGGCGGGCGCGCGGTCTTCCGCGCCTTCCGCCGCGCCAACGCGCGCTGCTTCTGGAACTCGCGGCTGGCGCGCGCCGCCTCGCGGCTGGCTTTCCAGGGCTGGCTGCGGCGCGGGGTGCTGCTGGTGCACGCGCCTCCCGCCAGCCTGCAGGTGCTGCGCGACGCCTGGTGCCGCCGGGCGCTGCGCCCCCCGCGCGGCTTCCGCATCCGGGCGGTGGGTGAGTGCGGGGCCCGGACGGGAGGGGCGCCCCGCGCCAGCCGCGGGGACCGAGCCCTGGCCGCTGGGGCGTGTGCGGCCCACGCTCCGCTCTGAGGCCGCGGGAGCCGGGGGTAAGAGGGGATGGGCGGCCACCTGGCTGCTGGAGGAGGGCTGTCCTCCCAGGACATTGTCTCCTGCCGGGACACTGAAGCTCAGGCCCCCGAGATAGGCGTGGCCGCTGCCTGGGGCCAGCTCCAGGATGCCTCCACTTCTCAACTCTTTGAGCCAGTGCAGCCAACAGGTTCCTGGCCGAAGGAACTTTCTACTTAGAAAAGTGATGCTCTGGGGAGCCTGGGGCACCGGGACTGGGGTCAGGAGACAGGGCCTCTGTCCCCGCACCATAGGGGCTCTTAGGAAGGGGACTGCTGAACTGGTTGCTCCTTTTTTTTTTTTTTTTAATTCCAGGCTTGGAGCGGACAAGAGTCCATGGTTTCCATGCCCTTCTGCACTGGGTGGTGTGGTGGTCTTGGCTCAGGGCCTAGTGGAACGTTTGGGGTCATTAACAGCTTGGGAAAAAGAAATGACAAATGGTGCTCTGAACACATCCCATCCCATTAGCTAAATAGAGAAGATTCCTCCTTTTCAGTCTTTTCAGAGAGCCCGTTTGTTAGAAGGCAGCAACTTTTTGCTTGTGTAAAATAGCTTCATTCGAAACCACTGCAGCATTAAGTGGTCTTTGACACCCACCGCTAAACGGAGGAGGGCATGGCAGCTCCCTGTACCAGTCTGGTTTGTTTGCATTTATGTGGGGTTGTGACGACCATTTGATGGTGTGCTGTTGACAAGTTACCAGTTGTTCCAGCCCTGAATTTTGACTCCTACAGAGGAACCCCCTCTCTCTCAGTCCATAAATCCTCCTCCTCCTCAGGTGGAGCAAATAAAACACATTAGTTTTAGTCCCCAGGGAGAAGGGAAGTGGGGTGGGGGTGGGGGGGAGAGTAGCAAGAGACACTTGATGTTGTTGTGTATCATCTGCTTAGAGATGATGTCTCAATATCCCAGGCCAGGGAGGCTAACCGTTGGCTTTTCATCTCCATGCATTCCCGTCCTGTCTGGTACCCCTGCCCCACTTTTTCTAATGTTAAAAGCAAAAGGAGAGCTCATTGGCAAAGCCCACATACATACATTTCATCTTTTACTTGCAGGAGTTACTGAAGAAATAGGTTTCTGATCTGAAAGCAGAGAGTCAAGGAGCCAAGCCAAAATTCTCACAGGGAAGGGGGTCTTTCAGACAGGCTGGATGAAAAACTCTTTTCAGTTCTGTGTCCTCTGTTTTTCTGGTTTGAATTAGTGGTTGTATTCTCTGGTTCCCCCACCCCCTTTCAAAGGGTGAGCATAGAGTATTGCAGAGAGGGAAGATGGAGTTGGGGGTCTGGACCTGAGGGTGACAGAGAGACTTGTACTAAGCCAGAGGCAGTCACGGTGCCACCACCTGGGTCCCAGCGAGCAGTGGTGAATGGTGGTTCCTGGGTTGGCCCTGTTTGCTGCCCTCTGAACAGTGCGGGGGACAAAGAAAACACGTTACCAGGTGCTCCAGTCCTCCACCCACTAGGTAACTCAGCCTCACTGCACGACTCGGGATGCCATGGGCACTGTATTCTATGGAGTGTGCTGTAATAACAGTGGTCTTTATGCTAGGTCATCACCCCTGACCTGGGTCTCTTAGAAGGAATGATTTTGAAGTTTTTAACAGAGTCCTGATAAGAATTTGGATGTTTCTGGAATTTGTACAAAACCACCTAATAGGACAATTTGAAGAGCAAAATGGAGAAAGATCTTATTTGATGCAGGTCAATGGATGCATATGGACAGGGAGTTCTTTCTTTCTTTCTTTATTTGAAAGAGAGAGACACAGCAAGAGAGAGAACACAAGCAGGGGGAGTGGGAGAGGGAGAAGCAGGCTGCCCGCTGAGCAGGGAACCTAATGTGGGGCTCCATCCCAGGACCCTGGGATCATGAGCTGAGCCGAAGGCAGCTGCTTAACAATTGAGCCACCCAGGCGCCCCAGGGGGTTTATTTCGAGTAGAATTGATAATTACTAGTCTAACCTGGGGTCCTTAAGTCAGATCAAAGGAGAAGAGGCGTCAAGGCAGCTCTTGGGCCAGGGCCATCTCAGAGTCCCAGAATGTGGTAAAGGCAGGGGGGAGCTGCCTTCCCTAAAGAGATTGGAAGTTTCAGTTCACTTGCTTTCTTGAATCTGGCAGCTTTGACTTTCAGAAGCTAAAATGGGCTTCCAGAAAGGCAAGGGAAGAGCAACAGTGCACTCTTGCAGGTACTGTTACTTTGTGGCAAAGAGCAAATGCACAAAATGCAAAAAGCAAGACACAAAGGATCAATTTGGTCAGATCAATTTAGTCCCTTTGCTGTAGATTTTTTTTTTTTAAGGCTCATTTACTCCCATATAAAAGCATTTGGACATAGGGAATGCTGCTGGCCAGCTCAGACAAAATGCACGGTGGGAAGTGGGGGTGGCCACCAGCATTATAAACCCATGGTGCTCCCATGGGTTCTTCTCCTGGGCTTCTGGACCTGGAACTCCTGGGGCCTCATACGATATGAGGAGGCTGAGCAGATAAGAGTGACCTGGGTTTCCAGTGCACACCTGAATTTAAGGCCTGCTGGAGTTTTTCTCCACATTTTGTGCCTTTTCTTTCCCTCTTTAATCTCCACCTCAACTTCCCTCTGGTGAGAAAAATAGTTCCCAGGCTGAGAGCATTTCCCTAAAAAGAAGGACATAGGATCTTTTAGCATGATGACTAAGTCTTCTTTTGTGCTCCAGTACTCATGTCTTTTTTTGTTTTTAATAAGCAAGTGACATTAACAAATGAAAGGGGTGACTCTGGAAGCCGGAGGGAAATATCTGCTCAGCAAGCTGAGCCACTGCAGGTGGTTAGGGGTGGGGGACACCTGTATTTGTTTGGTTGAATCGTGTTTGTTTGTTACTCTGGGACCACACCTCCTGGGGAGGTGAAAGGTTAATGATGGCTTCCCTGGGGTTAGGGAGGGAAGGCCACTTGGCCAAACAGTTGGCTCCTTTCTCCTGAAATTTATAGCCGAGGTGTCCCTGCTTTTTCACCCCTAGCATGGCCCTCCATCTGTTATCATTGAATAAAAATTCCTGTGGCTCTTTCTAAATATTTGCCTCATTAATTCATTCATGTGTCAGGTACTGTTCTAGGTATGTCTGTGTTTTAATGCGTATTTCATTCAGAGCTGCTTGTATTCAAGGAGAATATTATATAATAGAGTTAGCCTGTGTCCTCCATATTCAGTTCACTGGGGGATAGCTGAGTGGGAGGCTATGTTCTAGAAGCTGTCTGGTTCACGCAGAGGCTTCTCCATCCCACTGTGACATGTGTGGGCACTGCAGGTTCTGCCTGTGATTTTGGGGGGTGAGAGTTCTCTGGTGTGTGTTTTGGGGGGTACTGAAGATCAGGCAGGTTAGGCTCGTGAAGGGGAGGTGATAGAAGGATCTTCCCACCTCTACGTGTCCCTCCTTCCTGCTCCCTGAAATATCTCTGAGCACAGAAACTTATCGAGGCAAAATTGAAAGGGCCCCAGAAGAGTAGAGGCCAGTCACTAATTTATGCTAGGCGTAAATGACTGATTTCAGAATCTATTGTGGGATCTGGTTTGAGAGAGGAGGAACGCTCAAGGGTACCAGGTGCTTGATGGTGCAGGAGTTGGATGAATATCTGAAATTTTGTTTTGACTTATCCTGTGATTTAGGGAATGCCTTGGGGGAAGTGTGTAGAGACGGTGAGGAGAGGAAGTGGTCCAGCTCCCATCCTGCCTTGTTTCTAAAGTCCTACCTTGGGGCACCTGGGTGGCTCAGTCGTTGGGCATCTGCCTTCGGCTCAGGTCATGATCCCAGGGTCCTGGGATCGAGCCCCACATCAGGCTCCCTGCTCAGCGGGAAGCCTGCTTCTCCCTCTCCCACTCCCCCTGCCTGTGTTCCCTCTCTCACTGTGTCTCTCTCTGTCAAATGAATAAATAAAATCTTAAAAAATAATAAAGCCCTACCTTGAAAGACAGTAGGGTATCTTGTAGGGTTTAATAGCTAATGGAATATTTAAGGTGAAATTTTCATTTAGTGAAATGCACAAATCGTAAGTGTATCCTTTTTAAAAAGATTTTATTTTTAAGTAATCTCTACACCCATCATGGGTCTTCAACCCACAACCCCGAGATCAAGAGTCATGCGCTCTACCACCTGAGCCAGCCAGGAGCGCCATAAGTGTAGTATTTGATGGATTTTTCAAATATATTCATGAATATAACCCAACTTCCTAGCAGGATTTAGAACATTACCATTAGCCCACAAAGTTCCTTCTTGTTCCTTCTCAGTCAGCTCTGCCCCCACACTGAGAATTAACATGATTTTTTTTTAAAGATTTTATTTATTTATTTGACAGAGAGAGACACAGCGAGAGAGGGAACACAAGCAGGGGGAGTGGGAGAGGGAGAAGCAGGCTTCCTGCGGAGCAGGGAGCCCGATGCGGGGCTTGATCCTAGGACCCTGGGATCATGACCTGAGCCGAAGGCATAGATGCTCAACGACTGAGTCACCCAGGTGCCCTGACCTGATTTTTTTTTAACCATAAAATAATTTTGCCTGTTCAAGAACTTCATGTAGGTGGAATCATATAGGAGGTATTCTTGTGTGAGGATTCTTTCACTCAGTTTAATGTTCCTGAGATTCATCTCTGTTGTATTACTAGTTTGTTCCTTGTTATTGTTGTGTAGAATTCCATTTTATGAATATACCACAGTTTATCCATTTTCCTGTAAATGGATCCCTGGGATGTTTCCACTTTATGGCTATTAAGAATAAAACTTCTATGAATATTCATGTATAGATTTTTTTTTTATGCCTTTATTTCTTTTGGGTCATTACCTAAAAAAGGAATTGCTGACTCACTGAGTAGGTTATTTAGTTTTAAGGAACCTTTTTCCAGA